CTTTCTGGAAAATTTGAAGTTTTATAAATACATATGAATTTGTTTACTCTTACAATATAATATAGCTCTTGTTTTTTAACTAAAGTTTAGTTTTTTGGTTATTACAGAAATTCTATTGCCTTTGACCCAATTGTCCCAAATGGGGCAAACAAGCACTGGGATTCTTACATATATTTTGGGTTTTCTATAAATGTGCATGAACTTGTTTACTCTGACAAAATGTAAAAGCACTTTTTCTTTAACTGAAGTTAATTTTTATTATTTTTACAGAGCCTTAATTATTTCAGCCGGGGAATTAGACCTGAGCTTTTTATACAAATTTTTGATATTTATAAATGTAAATGAATTCGTTCACTCTGACAGTTTAAAAAATCTCTTTTTCTTTAACTAAAGTTAATTTTCACGGTTTTAACAGAGCTTTTTGTGTATTTTTACATTATTACCCAATATTTATAAATATAAATGAATTTGTTTACTCTGACAGTTTGAAAAAACTCTTTATCTAAAATTAATTTTTACAGTTTTAACAAAGCTTTTATAGCTTTTGATCCAATAGTCCCAAATGGGGCAAACGAGCAGTGGAATCCTTACCTAGGGGCCCCTAATATGAGAGTGATAATTTATAGAATTGAATGCATTGATTCTTTAGTAAAAAATAAAACAATAAAAATAATTCACCATAATTACTTCAATGAAACTCCTTCTCATTGATAGCATTTGAAAAATAAATGTATTTTTAAAATTTGGTACCCTAAATTCTTAAAGAAAACTCAACAAATCTTGACACAAACAGACGTTATTGAGCCCAACATAAATTGTCATAACTTGGGAACCAGTTTTCCAAGTTTAAAATACGAACTCATTCTGAAAACATCTTTATTATCCCCATACTTTAGTATTAATTATAACAAGAGATAATGATAATAGTAAAATTGTGTGAAGTGCTTATTATTAAACATTTTTTTGCCTTATAAATCTCATTTTATAAATGATATAGACCGAACATATGCAAATTTTTTTAGTTTGTACGAGAATTTTCTAAAACAATTAGCAGTATTAATTTTATAATAAGCAGGTGCTCAGAGGTATTTTAAAGCTGGCACATGGTAAAATCTCCATTCTGCGGCCAATGGAACTGCACGAACTTTTTCCAAGCCCTCTTCCCCCCTCTAATAAATATTTTACATAAAAACGACCTTAAGAAAATGAAATTTTACAAAGTATGATAAACAATATTTAATATTTTCTAAAAAGTTTATCTTCTTAAGGTGGTAGTTTACCTTGAAATATAAAAATTTTCAAAATTTCAAATTGTACTGTTTTACCCAATATCATATACGTAAAAAATGATGGTGATATTTGTTTTTCAAAAAAATATTTACAACTTATATGATTTTATAGATATAGTTGGTATAATTTTTTTTTATAAAAATTGCATAAATTTAATAAAAAATTTAAAAAACAATTTATGCAATTTTTTTATATAAAAATCGCATAAATCTTTTAAAAAATTTTAAAAACGAAGCCTACTTGAACTTGTTTTAATCATTGGTAAGCATCTAAAAGTAATCCAGGACATCCACATATAGTTTTAGAGTATAACCAAAAGTATAACTTGAAATATTTTCGAAAAGATTTAATAGAAGCATGCTTTTGCTGCTGGCAGATATATTTTGTATTTATATATTATTATAGTTCTTAATTTACTATAATTTATTTGATTCGTGCTAGAAGTCCTACTTGTTAGATAATTTTGATTAATATTCAAATTTAGAAAAAAATAATAAGTATGAAAAATAAAAAACTTGATGCTGGAAAAAGACGAAAGGCAGGAGGATCAAAACTTTTCAAAAAACGACGTTTTCATGGCAAAAGTTTTTTTAAAGCTCCTGAACCCAACATTGACTCGGAAAATAGTCTTGTTAATAACATGCCTTCAACAAGTAATTTAAATGCTTCAATTTCATCAAAGAAACTTACATTATTAAATCATAAAACAACAACAGTATCAACAAAACGAAATTCATTACTTAATAACAAATCGAATTTTTCACACTGTTACATTATGTTGGATAGCTTTGTTTTAAAAAGATAAAATCATAGGTGAAATTGCTAAGTGCCCTCAATGTCAATCGAGGAGTATTGAACTTTCTACAGATTTATCAAGAAAGAAAAGACTGCCTGTTTTATTAGAGTTTACATGTACAGCCTCAGTCTGCTCATGGAGTAAAAAAGTTTACACTAGCCAAGAAATTGATGATGAATCTGGTGGGCAATATCAATCGGATGTAAATATGTTTTACATCATCAGAGTTAGGTACGTGAGTAAAAATTTCAAATAGTTTAAATATTCTACTGTTATATATCATTAGAAAGAGGACCAATACAGTATTTTAAAGGTGAAAAAATTATTAAATACGAACAATTGGTTCAAAAGTTATGACAGTTTAAGTACCGATTTTTCAATATATGGAATTGTTGAACAAACTGTGGTCAAAATTATGTTTTTCTTTACTTAAATTGTCATAACTTTATTAATTCTTATCGAAATACAAATATCTTGGTGTCAAAAGATAGGTGCAAGAGTAAGCTACAAATTTTTGTTAAACTTTAACCACCGGGTGTATCAGATGGATAGAGGGGACACCAAACTACCACCTTAACCGTATGAAACTAAACATTTTTTTCACAAAAAAACTCTTTTTTCAAGACATAAGTATTTTAAATATACAAAAACATTGTTATAAAATTATATTTAAGCACCAGAGCATATGAGAAGCGTATGTTAACGTTGGAGGTGGGTGTGGTGGTGATGGTTTGATACACCCTAGTATCAAATAAGACTTGTTTTCATAAATATTTTTATCTTTACTAAAATGAATTCAATTAGTATACAATATAAAATTATTTTCTACAAGAATTTACGTGGTGTTACTATTACGAATTTAAGTCGTGTTCACATCGATGTATGAAAGGGGCAAACTCCCCCCTCCCCAACCTTAAAAAAAAAATTAAAATGACACTACTGTTTCCTAAAGTCCCAAAACAAAGTTTTTTTCTGTATAAAAAAGGTTCTATAAATTAATACTGAACAAAAAAGAGGGGCTATTAAAAGAGAGGGGCTATCTCCCCCTTTCCCCCAACTAATCATTTTTTTAAAAAAAAGCATTTTTGATTAATTGGAGAATTTTTGGTTAAAATATTCTCATACAGAGTGACTTCTATTATCAGTCAATAGTGGTAAAAAGGTAATCAAAACAAGGTATTTACCAACTTTTATAAATCTTTAAATCTTTCATATAGTGCTTGATACTAGTTTGGTTAACGAAAAGTTAGGCTGTTTCAAACTAAAAAACAAAAAAAAATGTTATTAACACTAAATAATGTTTGATTATTTTAATGATGCTTTATTTGA